AAAATTTCTAATACACTACTATGTACAAATAAAAATTATTATTAAATATTTATATTATAAAATAACATATTTTACTTTATATGTAAATTACAAAACATAAAAAAAAATTGTAAAAAACCAACGATTTATGAATTTACGTTAAACACAAGTTAAATCAAACACCCGCACGGGGGTGCGGGTCAAGTTCTAGTCTATCTATATTATTAAAACTGAAGTACCTTTTGATACTGTTTGGAAATAAGGATAGCAAAATAAATGAAACATTGTTTGGAAACATGGATAGTAGATTAAGTATTTTCTTTTATTTGTACATTTAGTCATTGTATTTACAATAAATTAAATACTTTCCTTTTATATTTCTTTTTATTTACAGATTATGTCATTGCATTTAAAATCAATTTAAGTTAATTAATTTCAATGATTTTTCTTTCTCTGTGATGAAAATTAAAACATAAACCGAAATATATAGTATACATTATATAAAATAATTTTTAAATATAATATTACCTTATTTAATTTAGTCAAATATAAAATTGTGTAAGTTCAATTTAAAAAAAAACATAAAATTAATGATAATTCATAGAAAACTAATTAAAAAAAATTTAGTATGTTATTTTATTTTAAAATAAATTAACAAAAAAACAACAAGTTAGTATATGAATAGTATGATTACATTAAACTGCATCAAGTTATAAAATTTCTAATACACTACTATGTGCAAATAAAAATTATTATTAAATATTTATATTATAAAATAACATATTTTACTTTATATGTAAATTACAAAACATAAAAAAAAAATTGTAAAAAACCAACGAATTATGAATTTACGTTAAACACAAGTTAAATCAAACACCCGCACGGGGGTGCAGGTCAAGTTCTAGTCTATATTATTAAAACGGAAGTACCTTTTGATACTGTTTGGAAATAAGGATAGCAAAATAAATGAAACATTGTTTGGAAACATGGATAGAAGATTAAGTATTTTCTTTTATTTGTACATTTAGCCATTATACTTACAATAAATTAAATACTTTCCTTTTGTATTTCTTTTTATTTACAGATTATGTCATTGTATTTAAAATCAGTTTAAGTTAATTAATTTCAATGATTTTTCTTTCTCTGTGATGAAAATTAAAACACAAACCGAAATATATAGTATACATTATATAAAATAATTTTTAAATATAATATTACCTTATTTAATTTAGTCAAATATAAAATTGTGTGAGTTCAATTTAAAAAAAAATATATCATAAAATTAATGATAACTCATAGAAAACTAATTCAAAAAATAATTTTTAGTATGTTTTCTTTTAAAATAAATTAACAAAAAAACATGTTAGTATATGAATAGTACGATTACATCAAATTGCATCAAATTATAAAATTTCTAATATACTACTATGTACAAGTAAAAATTATTATTAAATATTTATATTATAAAATAATATATTTTACTTTATATGTAAATTAAAAAACATAAAAAATTGTAAAAAAACCAACGGTTTATGAATTTACATTAAACACAAGTTAAATTAAACACCCGCACGGGGGTGCGGGTCAAATTCTAGTCTTAGTTTAGGAATCAGGTCCGTCTCAAACACATTTTGGGTTCATAGCAAAAAAAAAGTTTATATGTACTTATGGTAATTTAAAAAAAAAATTAGGCTTTTTCATATACTTTTTTTATAAAAATTAGGCTATTTTCTGCTATTATTTATATTTTTTAATAAAAGTTGTGCATTTTTCTTATATTATTTATGAAAAGAAATTGGACCCAGGGCCCATACCCCTTTAGCCATGGGTAAGAGTCAGGCCTGTTAGGAATATCGAATTCCTTCGAGTATTTTACACTTCAGGTGAATCAGATAAGATTCATTTATTTAAATTTACTTTAAAAAGGTTAGATCAAGATGAACATAAGTCATTATCAAATCAAATAAATAAAATATCCAAATCAGTAATATAAAATGTAGATAGTAAAATAGAACAATATAAAATTAAGCAAACAACTACAAAATAAATTGTTAATGAAAAGAATGGGACATCAAATACTCAAAGATGAAGAATAATACTTCACCAAAACAACCTTTTAAAAATAATGTATCCTCCTCTAAAATTGAAAGGTGTAGAAAAACGCGAAACCATAAAGTACAAGGCGGAGACGGAGTTAGAGCACCTCAATTAGTGAATTCCCTTTTCGGGTTCATATGTTTTCATTATTTATTAATTTTTTCATTTGATTTTTTTGAAAAAATAATTAAATAACTGAATCAATACCAGGTCGCCATATGGTATGCGGTCCGCGAAACAGTGATGCCGGTTCACATGGAAGAAACTGCAGGAGACAGAGTCATCAAAAATATGGAACCCACGATTATTATAATATTTTTTTTTGGAATCTGTGTGGATTTTGGGTTTGAACCTTCAATAAAAATGTTCTTAAAACACCTTTAAACCCGGAGGTGCTTATAACAATATTAGTGTAAAACTTAATTTTTTTAAAAAAAATGAAGTAAAATAGAATATTAAGTAAAAATACGCCAATCTTACCATATTTTTAATTTTGTAGTGGATAATAAATAAACAAACAATAAATTAATCCATTTATAAAATAAATTTTATTATGAAATGAGAAATGAAATATGATTAGAAGTTTTTTTTACTTCCTACTCCATTTTACTAAATTTTAGAAGAAAACAAATAGAGTGGAGTTAGAAATATCCTAACGAACAAGATGTATTTAAGTATCTAAACACATGCAATTATGACACAAATCCATCATCCAAATCAAATTATCTCAATACGATTTGCTAAAACATTACAGACAATATACTAAAGCATTTTATTTTCTCTCAATACGATTTGCTAAAACATTACAGACAATCCCACCAATGCCACCCATTCAACTCTCTGATGATCATCCTCCACCCAATGCCACCATTCAACTCTAGTCCTGATCCTCTCACCCCATTGCTGAGAAAAGCTCTCCTGCAAACAAATTATTCCCCAAGAAATCCTCCATGTAATTATAATTCTCCGGCACAAGTTTCTTAAACTTGAGATACTCCTCCTCCGCCTTGTCTTCCTCCTTCAGCAAAGTGTATATACCTCCTCGACAAAAATACGGCCAGAAATCACTTGGTTCATCTTCCACAAGCTCCTCATAAAGCTTCAACGCTTCACTATGTTTCCCTCTAACCACACGAATCTGAGCCACAAGATGCTTAAACTCACGATACTCCTTGTGCTTATTCTCCTTTTCACATCTCAACATTGTTTCCTCGATTCTACTCTCTACTCTTTTCCAATCATGACCTGCATTGGAATAAGCGGTGACCAGGACGTAATAAGCTTCAGCATGAAGAGGGTGTTTAGCTAAAACCTTTTCAAGTACGGTTTGAGCTGATGATGTGTCTCCATCGCAGGTAAAGTATCTGGCTTTCTTAACCGGCCATTTCGGTTCATACGGTTCAAGTTTTATCAGACGGTCGAGTAGTTTTATAGCTTCTGGAAGCTTATAAGATGTGAATTTTACCTCCACCAAGGAACTAAGAGAGTCCACGTCAGTAGGGTGAGTTGCTAAATGCTCTTCCAAGGCTTTCTCTTTGTCTTCATAGGTGACGTGTCTGTTACTTTCTGATGATGATGGAGGTGTGATGGGAGCTGCGATGGCCGGAGGTTTGAGCTGGAGGTTGAGGGAGAGGAGAGTTGCGGCGGTTGTTAGAGTGATGCATGTGGACTTGAGGAGAGGGAAAGGTGTTGACTTCTGGAGAGGGTTTTGAGATTTTGAAGAAGAAGCTTTGAGTGAAGGGTATTTGAAAGAGGGGTTTGGTGGGATTAAGAATGAAGATTGTTTCAGGGAGGAGGATGAAGAAGAGGTGTGAGTGAAGGAAAAGTGGGGTGGTTGGTGATGAATCTTTAATCTTCCCAGAGACTCCATGATTCTTGTTGTTTGCGAGAAACCTTCAAAAACCTTTATTCAGTAAAGAGATCTGAGGAAAGAAGACCAAAGAAAAGCATACCGACATACTCTACCTGTTTGCTTCATCCAATACGACAACGTTTCTGTCTTTGATGGGCTTCAGTCTCACGCTCCATCTACTTGTTTAAAATATCATGAAACACACATTGCAAGATGACACACATTCAACTTTGACTTTAGAGTGTAAGTAACTGTAGTAACACATTTGAACCACCACGGAACAACCTTAGTGGTGGTCGTGGTCGGAGACCGAACCCAAAGAAACAAAAAAAAAGAACAGACACACGAAATAAGGTACAAAAGCCTTTCCCTCTTTCTTTTCATTTCTATACATGAAATTATGACTAAGGTTACAGAAAACCCAAGAAAAATGAAGAAACCAGCTGCAGATTTTTTTATCCAAACATTCATCTGCTGTTTCTTCTTTTACTAGTTCTTGTGGTTATATAAAAATGGACCAGGGTTTGAGTTAAAGGGGATACTCTGTTCTCGGCTTCGTGTGAAGAAGGGATGGTTCAATGCTTCTCTTGCCTTGAGCCTCACCGCTGGATCATATCTAAGCAGCCCTTGTAATAGATCTATCAGATCACCCGCCGAGTGATCCACATGCTGCATGATCAAGTTCTGCAGAAGTTTCAAATTAAACACAGATGAGTGAATATCAATTCCAAAGCTATTTAATTGATTCTTAATCTTAAGTGATTATTTACCGGTAACCGGGGAAGTTTCCACACTGCTTTCAAGCTGTCTCTCGACGTTGCACCTTCAGGCCAATCCAACTTTGCACCTCGCATGAAGTATCTCTCCGAGCGCCGGCTGCAGGAGAACGGTTTTGATTTTGATTTAAGAAATTAAAAAGTTCACTTTCATTTCCGCTGGTATCTTATTTTGCTAATAAGATTGAACTTGTTGTTCTTACTCGGCTCTGAGCACCATATGAGGTGGCAATGGTCCTAGTACCCTTTCCATCATGGCCAAATGCTCCAAATTTTCATGCGTTTGGAAAAGTGCCTCTCCCTGTAAAATTTATTCAAAAGAAACATCTATTGTGGGATACGGTGACGTGAATCTTGGTGTACATAAAAACATGTAAACTATAAGATACTCACCGAACAAAGTTCAACAAGTATGCAACCAATACTCCACAGGTCACATGGATAGTTCCATCCAACCCCTGCAATAAAGTTCCAAACTATTAACCACCGATAGCTATACAAATAAGTATAATCTACACAGATGACTCAACAATCTACCTAGTATAACTTCTGGTGCGCGGTAATGCCTTGTGGATACGATGTAGTTGTGGTCTTGATGTTCAAACGTTGTACTTCCAAAATCAATAAGCTTGATGGCACTTGACTTCGGTAGATTCTTGAAGTATGACCCGTCTTTTGTGGGTCGTGATAGAAACTAGATTATCATGACCACAAAGAGAGAAAAAGGGTTAACCAACTTGAGTTATGCAAGTTCCTTCATAGATATATATCACATAAAGCCAAGAACATAAGTGCGTCGAGCTTGGAGATGACTGATTACTCACCTTGTAATCAGGTATTTTGATATATTCAGATGATACCAGAAGAATGTTCTCCGGCTTCAAATCTGTGTGAATCAGCCGTAAATCGTGCATATCTGTCACGAGTGAGCAAAGTCTGAGTATACTAGTAAACAAAAGTCTAAAGATGTACTGTCTGAGCAATTTTGATTCCCTAGAGATTGCAGTGTCAAAAGAGAAGCATGAAGTAATAATTACTAATGCCTAAGTCGTGCATCGGAAAATTTAAAATGATCCATGGCACTAAAGGACTACTATAAGGAAGAATGGGTCAAGGAGAAAAGTCCACACACATGCTACAGATTCCAAAAGTTGTCTGCCAAGCTCCCGAACAAGATCAATAGGAAATGAACGGTAGCTGTTTTTGCGGAGGAAATCATATAAGCTTGGCCCAAGCTTCTCAAACACCTGTTGAAAACCATTTAAAACCCATCCGCAACTTCTTTTAACTCACACAGTACTCAGGGGGTGATATTCCCCTCAAACTTATCAAGGATAACAGTACTTACAATACAAATATGATTACGATAGTCAAACCAATTCCGTATTTGCACACAACTGCAATGAACGGAAGAGCTTATACCAAAATGCATATAAATAAATAAAACACTAACCAAGAAGTAGTAAAAGAGCAAAGAAAGATCCTCACCGAGAACCACCAACATCATGCCTTGTAAGCCTCTGCAACACGTCAATCTCAATCATAGCAGCTTCACGATACTTATTTACAGACCGTATAACTTTGATCGCCACAGCCTCTTTGTTCTTATTATCAAAACACTCCAATACTTGCCCAAACGTACCTGCAAGAACACAATCCATGATTAAACCAATCATAAAGGATTATGTAAACATATAAAATCAAAAAAAAGTAAAACTAACCTTCACCCATTTTGCTGAGAATCTGATCTGCACACACACACACACAACAGAAACAGAGTATATCAGTGTAACGTAGTTAAACCTCAACGATGAAACAGATAAAGATAAGACTCACATCGTGGGGTCAAAGTATCTCCAACAACAAAGACAAAGTGTCCATCTTTATCATCAGGTCTCCAAGGAGGAGAGCCCTGACGAGTAAAGCCGTTATAAAACATGTTCGGGTACACAAAGCTTGGAGCTACTCCACTCACAAACTCTTGACCATAGTACAACGGAGGATAAAACACCTGACAGATAAAAAAAAAACAAACATTAATAAAATTACTTAAAAATCGAAACTTTTTTTTTAACAGAATTGCAATTACCGTTGGTGGAGGAAGAGGAGGAGCATCCCAAGCTAAACGCGGTCGTTTTCTCGGACGCTTATCGACGATTCGTTGAGTTTCCAAGATCATGGCGATGGAGGTGGGTTTCTCACGATGAGCACTGGTTTGCATTAAAGGAGGGATCTTTGTGTTGAATATAGAGAGGGAAAAGTGATTGATTCGAATCGAATTGAGGAGATAAGATTCTGAAATTCGAAAACCCTAAAAAGATATTGAATTGTGAGATCTCAATTAGGGTAACTAAAAAAGGTGGGAAAAGTAACAGAAAAATATATTAAAAAAAAAAGAATAAAGTTAATGTAGGTTAGAAACTAACCGTCTCTCTTGAAGATTGAATTTTGAATGAGAATCAGATCGGGAGATACGAAATGATATCTTACACTGAATTGTGATTCGAGCAACAAAGAAAGAAATCTCAGGGGAGAAGATTTGACAGCGAAAGAGACTGAAAATAAATAATAAGAGAGAGAGAGAGAGCGAACCAAGGAAGGAGACAGGCGAATGAGAGAGAGAGTGAGGCTGTACGAAGATTTTTATGGGCTTTTATTAAAGGCTTTTTCATTAAATATCTGTCAATAATAGGAACGACAGGGAGTTTATCATGCTCAATTATAAACAACGCGACGTTCAACTATTAGAACATAATACAACACGATGTTTTCTTACTTTTTGTGCACTTAATGGGCTTCCTACTAAAGGCCTTTTATTTAAAAATGATTCCACTAAAGAACGCACGCCACGAAGTTTTTATGTCCAGGAGAAAACAACGCGGAGTTTAGTTTCTAACACATTAAACAACACGATGTTTCTTTAAAGTCTCCTGATTTGTAGGAGAAAGTTCAAGCAGAGAGAGAAAACATATGTCATTGGCCATGGAGATAGCCGCCGCGAGCACTGTCTCCGTCGCGCCGCAACCGCCCCGACCATCGAATGCATTTTCCAGGAAACTATCTTCCGTCTCTTCTCTCTCTTCTCGCTCAATAGAGAGAAAATACTTCTTTGGAAACGCTAAGCTTCACGTGTCTGCATCCTCCTCCATGAACGCTGTCGCCGCCGAGAAATTCTCTCCGGCGAGTTTTCTCGACAAGAGAGAAACAGGAAGAGTTCTTCACTTCGTTGAAGTATCATGGTCTCGGCAACGACTTCATCTTGGTAACTTCCATTTCCATCGAAATGTATATGATTCCAATACATGATTTTGAAAAAAAAAATCAAAACTTTTAATTTGGATATTCCAAAAATCAAAACTTTTAGTTTTTGGGTATTCGAAAAATCAAAACTTTTGTTTTGGGCATTCCAAAAATTCAAAACTTTATTTTTTTGGGTTCATGTTAGGTTGATAACAGAGACTCATCGGAACCTAAGATAACTCAAGAGCAAGCGGCGAAGCTGTGCGATAGAAACTTCGGTGTTGGTGCTGATGGAGTGATTTTCGCAATGCCAGGTGTCAATGGTACAGATTACACTATGAGGATATTCAATTCAGATGGAAGCGAACCAGAGGTGGGGCCCTTCTCTATACTGATTTGTTTTGAGTGAGTTCTTGTTTTAACGGTCTTTTGTTTTTTGTTTTTTTTTGTTTGTGTCTTGTAGATGTGTGGCAATGGAGTTAGATGCTTTGCAAGGTTCATTGCTGAGCTTGAGAACTTGCAAGGGCAAAACAGGTACTCTTTGTCTGTATTGAGAGCTCTGGTGTTTAGTCATGATTGTTATATAAACTCTCTACTGTCTTTTTATATATTGTTTTGTGTAGTTTTACAATACATACCGGAGCTGGTCTGATTGTTCCTGAAATTCAAGATGATGGACAAGTAAAAACCATTAAGATTGACTTCGTGTATTAGGTTTACTGCATTGTGATTTGATATGGGTACTAACAGGTTAAGGTAGATATGGGCCTACCGATTCTTAAAGCACAAGATGTGCCCACAAAGTTAGCAGGAAACAAAGGTGAAGCTGTTATTCAGGGAGAACTAGTTGTTGATGGAGAAAGCTGGAATGTGACGTGTGTTAGTATGGGCAATCCTCATTGTATCACATTTGGTACTAAAGGTGGACCGGTGCGTGTTTGCCTTGCTACACTTATCATTCTCTGTTTTGTTTTTTTCTCATTGTTTGTAATTTTCCTTTTGTGTTAGAACCAGAAACTGAAAGTTGATGATTTGAACTTGCCAGAGATTGGTCCAAAGTTTGAGCATCATGAAATGTTTCCAGCTCGAACCAACACAGATTAGTGGAAGATTCCATTAGAAATATCTATCCAAAATTTCTCTGTCATTATCTTGGATTTATGGATCTTTTAAGTTGTTTAATCTGCAGAATTTGTGGAAGTCTTATCACGTTCTCATTTGAAAATGCGTGTCTGGGAGCGTGGAGCAGGTCAGCTATAATCGTTCAAGTCAATATCTCATCAGCTCTCTCTCTCTGTATGTTTCCTTATAAGCATACTTAAAATTACAGGAGCGACTTTGGCATGTGGAACTGGAGCTTGTGCGCTAGTTGTAGCAGCAGTCCTTGAAGGTCGAGCCAACAGGGTAAGTTTGCAAAGTTGTATCATTATTAGATTTATACAATAGTATGGCGCTCTTAGTCTTATTATATACAGGAATCATAATTAGTTTAGAGACACAGGTGTTGTGTACTAAGTTTGGATTAGCATTTGAATTTTCATTTGACGTGTATTATTCATTTTGATGTGTGGAACAGAAATGCACGGTGGATCTGCCGGGGGGACCATTGGAGATAAGAGTGGAAGCAAGAAGACAGCCATATCTACATGACGGGTCCTGTAGAAGCTGTCTTCTACGGATCAGCGCTGGTCTAAAGAGGTTCCTTCACGGTCTATGAACTTGTCTCTCACCACTGTTGTTGTTGTTCTTTTGGGATCTGAGTGTTGTTCTTTAGATGCCTTAATCATGGATATTTTTTCATGTACTTACATTGTATTGAGCAACGGCTAGTCCCAACAAACTCAAAGTAAGTACGATGATGTTTCAGGAAATACAACTAAAAAAAATATCATTTATTACAAACTTGCAAACATCTTGAATGTAACATAACATCAGCATCACAAAACTAAAATGCCTTTAGGGTGCAAGCCTTTTAGGGTCACGAGGGAAGAGCGATGTTTTTCGAATGTTGTCAAGTGCGCAGAAAAGCATCACCACTCGCTCTAGCCCTACTCCAAATCCACCGTGGAGAGGCGCTCCGTATCTGTAAGAAACATTTCTCTGTCTGCTTAGAATACAACTCAGATAGACATAAACAAATGTAAAAAAAGAACCGAGTTTGTAGATTTTGTTACCTGAATGAATCGATATATGTGGATATTGTATTGACATCAATGCCACATTCTACTGCACGTTCCTCCAAGACTTCTGGGATATGGATACGTTGACCTCCTGACATGATCTCCTCACCTTAAGGACACAACAACACATTATAAACTTAGTATCAAATTCATAATTGGTGAGAGAACATCACAAGTTAACTAAAGAGATAATACCTCTGATGAAGACATCAAAAGAATTACTGTAAAGAGGATTATCAGCACAAGGCATGGTGTAGAAAGGCCTAACCGCTGTTGGATACCGATGCAGAATATAGAACTCAGTCTTGTACCTATCCCAAATCAACAAACACAAAATGAGATACAGAACTACAATAAAAATCATCTTCAAAGCATACAAGTGATGTGATTACTTTTCGAATACAAGTTGGCCAAGTTTTCTCTCAGATTCAGTGTTTAGATCGCCAAGAGGATCAACCTCCACACCTGCTTCCTGTCACCACATCATCATAACAATTATTAGTATTTGATAGTCAAAACTCAGGTAAACTGCAAAAAAAAAAAATACCTTAAGCATCTGAATCCCTTCTTCAAAGGTTAACCTCAATGTTTTTTCAAGAAACTGCAATTTTTCAACATAAAAATCGTCAGAATCCAATTTAAGATACAAAAAAAAAAACTCAGTTTCTAATACTAGCATATGGGGTTAATTACCTTCAAAGGTTCAAAAGGGTACTGTTTTCCAATAGCTTCAAGTTTCTTTTTGCACTTCTCATTCAATTCAGTGAACATATACACAAACAACTCATCCACAAGGTCCATTATCTGCAACAACAACAACAAGAGATATTATTAACACTGGACTCAGAATAAAAGATAAAATTTTAATATTTGTATCCATTACACAAAGCTTTTTACCTCAGAATAGTCTTTATGAATCTCCATCTCCACATCAAGACCCACAAACTCACAGAGATGTCTATGAGTGAACGAGTCTTCAGCTCTGAAAACAGGACCTACCACAAAGACTCGTCGCAGGTCACCACATATAGCCATTTGCTTGTGTAGCTGAGGAGACTGAGCTAAGCAAGCAGGTTGTCCCTTGTAGTCCAATTTAAACACAGCAGAACCTCCTTCACTACTTCCAGCTATCAGTTTCGGTGTGTGGATACTAACAAAACCCATGTCTAGCAACTTTCCTCTAAAAAACTACAATTAAGAAAAAAAAAAAGGTAATAAATAAATATCCAAATAATGAAAAAGTACAAAACATATGTAATAATATTTCTCCATTACATGTTCGGTTCTGCACTCAACGTGGATGATGGCTTGGTTAGCTGCTGTTCTGATGTCGAGAAATCTATTGTTCAAACGTGTATCCTGATTGACACGAACAGCTTTAATTCCCATCTGCAAATGAAAACAAACAAGAGCTAGCTCTTATGAACAAGATTTGACCACCACCACCACCAGCATTAATAATAAATGAATGAGAGTAAAATTCACAGTTACCTCAAGAGATTTTTCAATATCAGCTTCACTTCTTGCAGCATCCTCCACACCAAGTGGTAATCTTGCTAAGGCTCTGCTCACACAGTACACTTTCCTCACCTGAATTTCTACCTGCAATATAACATATAATCGATCAACACAAACACATATAGATCCGCCTAATAGGCAAATCGGACCTAAAAGAAACTATTTCCCTAGAATATTTAGTTTTCAAAATCGGTCTAAACTTTCAAAAAATAATCGGTTTAGACAAGAAACTATTTTCAAGAATATATAAGCTTTCAAAAAAAAAAAAAAAATTGGTCTAGACGCTCATATAGACAATAATATTCTATACAGAGCCGGTCCTAGTAAATATTGGACTAAAAGTCAAATTTAAAAATGTCTTCGGCCGCAACCAGAAACTTTAGCATTACCAAAGCAAACCACTAGGATACAAAGATTTTTCTATACAAATGTGACCGGTTTAAGTCATAATATTTCACACAGCTTCCCTCCAAGGTCGGCTCTGATTCTATAGAATGACTAATTAGACTTACTAATTTCTTGAACAGTGTATTAGGTTAAACAAAATATATGAATTATTAAATTTAGGACCGGTTCTGAGCACAAGCGATTTAATTAGAAGAAGAAGAAGAAACCTTCTTTTGGGTAGGTCCCTTGACAAGGTCCTTAGGGGCAACAAGGACACCAATGACATCGAGAATCGATTCGCAAGTCAGCTGCTTTAGGTATTTAATCATCTTGACGCCAACGTTCGATTGTTTCGCTACGCACTGAACAGTACTCTGACCTTTGCAACCGTCGCCTTGTCTCAAGATCACAAACACTTTGCTAGAATATGGCCGATACGTGTCAACTCTGCCTCTGATCAGAACCTCAGATCCGGCCATCTCTTCCACCAAATCGCTCACATTCGCCCACTTCTTTCCTTCGACGGCTTCTCTCCAGTTTCCGGCTTTCGAATTTTCCGTTACGTCGCCGTAGTTACTGGAAAACTCTTCGTTTTCTTCTTCGAGAGACATTGAAGGCTGTGGTTTCTTCTTCTTCTTCTAGCGTTGCCGCTTTCTTTCTATGACGTGTTGGGCAAGTAAACGATGTATACCTTCGTGTTTGGGTTCCCTGATGGACTTATATAGGCGTCTTTTATTTTTTGTCACCGACTTATAAAATCAATATTTACAAAGGAATGTTTCCTATATTAAAAATATGGATGATTACTGATTTGATTCCAAATATAGAAGAATATCAATAGTAAAAAGGAAACGAAGAATATCAGTATTTTTAATATTTTTTGATATGGAATCAAATCAAATCCCCTATATATTATTTGAGAATCATTTAAAAAGTTGTAACCTTAAGTTTGTAAGAATTAAAAATAACTCCAATTTAAAAAGTTGTAACCTTAAGTTTGTAAGAATTAAAAATAACTTCAATCGTATGTGGCATAGTTCTTTGGCTTCTATTTCGAATCCCAAGGATTCTAGAACATGTGATATAATGTATAGTCTAAAAATTATACTCTCTAGCAATTTAATATTTCCTAGGCTATACTTGGTCGCATATATCAAATATTTATTGTTTCGCATGCTTTCCTTAAATAAAACCTACGGAATTACCTAATATGATTAAAATATATATATGACAATTAATGATTTTAAACAATAAAGATTTGATAACAATCTGTATACTTTTTCTCATTTTGTTTATTTATTTATTATTAAAATAAATTACACAATTACCTTAATCATATAATAAAAATCTAGATTTTTTTTGTGTATGTTGTCGAATTTTTCAAAATGAGTATAAATTACTAAAACTATTAAAAGTCTCACATAAACTTTTAGGATCAAAGTTTTATTTTTTTCTATATTAAAATATAATGATTATAAGACCATGTGAAGAAATAATTTTAGTTAATATATATATTTCATATCGTTTTGATTAAACTATACATCATATGAAAATACATACTTATATTTTGATATTTGCCTTGAACATATATTGAAAAGTTAATATTTTAATTTTGAAATATGTCATTGTTTTTTTAAATGATTATAAATTATTAAAACTACTAAACATCTCACATTAAAAAAAAAAATCTTTGTTGTAAAGTTTTGTTACACAAATATGCAAATAATCATAAAATCATATGAGTAAAAACCTCATTTAATAAATATATATATTAAAAGTGTGCTATATTACTATGTTTATATCATTTAAATTTAATTATATATCATATACAATATATAAGATTGATTATTTTGATTTATTTATCCTAATTGCGAATAAACAAAGTGACAGTTAAATTTATATGCATACGCAAATTTATTACATAATAGTAACTGATTTCTCAGTTATTTAATATATATATTTATGATTTTATTATCTTATAATATGCAGAAAATATAAAATAAATAATAAATATAAAATACTTATTGTGCATAAAGTGCAGATCTTTACCTAAGTATGTATCTCTTTAATTATTTTAAATCTTAAGTATTTTCTAAATCCCAGGTCAAAACAAACAAATGAAATGAGAATAAACTTCAAAATAAATATTTATATCGAGTAATAACCAAAATATAAAAAAACACAACAAAAGAAAAAATTGAAAATAAATAGGATTGACATGTGAACGTAAACTTCTCATAACCATAATTAATTTTTAAATTGTTAAATCATGATATAAAACTGAGTTAATTTTTAATTTGTTAATTTTTATTTTTATAGTTATGTTAAATCATGACCATAATTAATTTTAAATTGTTCATTTGTATTTGAAAACCTTAAAATATTTTTTTTTAAAATAATTTAAAATTTAACTTATTTTTTTATAAAATTATTTTTTAAAAATAAGTTGTAACAAAAATATAGTTTTCTATTATTATTAGACAAATAAATAAATTATATTAAATTAGTTTTGAAACTTTATATATTTTAAATGCGGTATTTTACCAACTGTTTCTTACAAAAACATTAGGAAACTTGCTAATACTCTACCAATCAAGGCTACTGACATTCTGTTTATTTTCCGTCACTCGAACACTGAAAAGTGAAAAGATATATGAAATCGGATCCATTAAATTCTAAAATTTGATCTATAGTTCTAATTATCATTGTTAGTGATCCTACGTATAGATAATTATATAAAAATTCTAAAATTTCAAATACATATAAAACAATCATATGTAAATTCTAAATTTGTCAATACTAAAATTTTATATTTTAATTACATATATTCACCCTGCACAAGGCGCATGTCTTATCCTAGTGTAATTGATATTTCATCTGAGTTTTATAAAAATTTAAGAAATTACGTATGTTTTATCCTATAATTATTTGAACAACACATCATACTATTATATAATAAACACTACTTCAAAAAAAAGATCGCTTATTATTTACAAAAATACTCCGGTAATATTTTTGTTGTAAATTTTGTAAAAAATAATATAAGAAAGCTTAAACCTAAATATAGATGTGAATATTTGTAGTTATTTAGGTTTTTATATTTTTAAACATACAATTACGAATCTATACTATATAAAAGTTGAGGCTATAAGCCATTGAGGACGTCCACGTAGGATTTAAGTCCTCCAATCGTATAATGACACATCATTATATTAGTTTATTATTTTTATAAAATATCATTGTTTCCAAATTATATTAAAAACGAAATTAATATTCCATATATAACTTAGCTAACAAAATAAATATTAACATTTTACAAATTACTTAAAAATGTTAATTGTTATAAAAAATGGAAAATCAAAATAAAAACGTAATATTAACAAAACAATATTGTCTTTTTAGATATACTAAATGTAAAGTATCATTTTTAGAAAATGTCAATGTTTCCAAATTATATTAAAAACGAAATTAATATCCCAAATATAATTTAACTA